ATATTCTAACCAAGAGCCAAATTCTGTGATCATTTTTTTCGGATCTCCAACAAATCATTTGAATTTTGTGCTAGTAAGGACTGATTATGGGCCTATCCATACTCTGAGGTACTGAGGTACCATGGGCTTATGCTACGCAGAAAAAATGTGTGGTTGCTACAAAACTTCAGTACTGAAAATTGAGAATACCTGACAATGAGGCTTTGAATTAATTAAATATAGAAATGGGCAATTAAATCATTCTACTATCTCAGAATCAGTAGACAGCTTTCATTATTTTTTTCATACCCAAGTATTTTCATTTTTGAAAAGCATCAGTCATTTATATTGATGAAGGTCACACACTGTATACAGTTTTACCAGAACTGGGCAATAAATCTTTTACCCATTCTGTGATAGATTTTGAGTAGTCAAACACTTTCCTCATTTCCCATTGGAATGAACAAAGGGTATTTTGAAGTTTTCCTAGTATATAGCAGTAGTTGTAACAGTAATTTCTGTCATTTTCTTAGTATAAAATAGACACACACACGCACAAATACTTTCACCCATCTCAGGATAACTTATAGTTAAAACACTTGCTTAAGGTACTAGAGACTAAAGTTCAATACACTGCTCTGGCTAGTTAAGGACAGTGGGGTCCCACATCTAGAGCAAGCATCCTAACAACCAAGCTGAGAGCTCTTCTAGTTTGGTTCTTCATTTTGTATGAATAATTAAAAAACTCACAGAAGCAGGAACCCAAACCTGGGTCTCCCATACCCAGGTGGGTGGAACTGAAAAAAGGTACAGAGGAGGGAAACCAAATGATCAGAGGCATGGAACAGCTGCCATATTAGGAGAGACTAAACAGGTTAGGATCCTTTAGTCTGGAGGGGAGAAGGAGGAGGCTGAGGTGGATATGATAGAAGTCTATACAAACCATGAAGGGGGTGGACAAAGGGAACAGGGAACTTATTCACCAAATCCCAGAATAGTTGAACTACGGGCATCCACTGAAATTAGTAGGTGTCAGGTTTAAAACTAACGAGAGACTTTAAGCAAAACAACTTGTGAAATTCATTGTCACAGGAGATGGTAGAGACAGATAGCAAAGCCAGGTTCAGAAAGAAACATGAAAAAAAAATCATGGATGATAGATCTATTAATAGCAGAACAGAATAGTTGACAGTTTCCTCTGGCATCTCTAAATCAATAATAAACGATGCCAGGGAGGGTAAGGAATAGGGGATACATCACTCTAGATCTACTTGGATTCAATGGTCTCCCTCTAAAGGATCCACATCTCAATGTCAAAGAGAGGATACCGGGCTAGATTGTCCATTGGTCTGACCCAGTATTGCATCTATAAATCCCTTAATCTTTGGACTGTAGCAGTACTTTCTAACATTTTCCCAGTTAATATTTAATTCCACAGAAGAAAGTCCACCTTGCACACTAGCTGGTAGTTATTCATTCATCTGATCTGCAGAAAGGTTTAATTTCAACAAATCAACATTATCAGACCAAAAATATAATTTTGTTGGTAAATTTCTGAATCATTTATTGATAAATCATTTCTGGCCCCAACTGTTCAGAAATCATAAGGCTACCATGCGTAAAGCAATGCATTTGAGGCTCTTCTAATTTGCCTTTTGGTTTTTGAAGAACTAGAATTTATGACTAGAAATTTAATTTCTTCCCTGCCAAAAAGGAAAAGTGAAATTTTCTAGTATTGATTATTACAAGAGTTGGGGCTCAGAAAAAAAACACAAAATAGGATGAGGCTTGCAATAAAAGCATGAGAGCTGGCAACACTGAATTAATTGGGTGAGAAGATGGCACATTTTGCAGCTGGGGCTTTTGGCACCCAAGAAGCTACGTACATTCCCTGCATGTTTAGGCAGGGAAGGCTGGTGAACTTTTGATATCAGGGAAGATGTACAGCTGCTCTTTCCTTCCAATGGAGGAGATTAGAAAGCACAGTTTCTAAAAGGACAGCACTTTAAGTCCTTATTTCTTACTGCAACACCACTGAGACAAAAGACATAGCAACAACATTTGGAATATAAAAGACACTATTGCTTTTGAACAGGTTTACATACAGTGAAACACGTTGGTTTTCACATGACACTTGTTTAACTGGTACTAAAGTCTGTGTGCATTAATTTGTGGAAAAATATAGGAAATAAGAAAGAATGGTGCAGAAGGAAGTCAACCAAAAAGGCTTTGAGTCCAGAAGATTGTCTCAGGGTTCTGAAAATGTGACAAGCAAGATTTTTCTTTTTCTTCTCTTTTTTTTTTTATTTTTGGTTATATCAATTATTGACCAAACGGTATATCGCTGGGAAAGATAATAAACTAACTTTCCATTTGGGCACAAAACCTTGTCTGTCATCCAAGAACCGCCCCCCACCCCCAACCTTGCTTCTTGGTCCTGACTTTCAACATCCCTGTTCTAGTCTTGATCCTAGCAAAGGCTGTCAGTCACCCAAACTTATGGCAGACTTTTACTGCACAAAAATAGAGATTTGCAATATATTTTCCAAATACCCTGCAAAATAAAGGAGGAACTGAAATTTAGTTTTCTTCTGGTGCAAGTTGACAGCTCTATTCTACAAGAATTAATCTTAATGTCTTCAAGAGTAATGTTAAATTTATTCTGTGTATATAATTAATTAGCCGTTACTCCAGTACAATTAATATATCCATCCATATATAAATATAAATATATAAATATAACCACTTTGCCACCCTGGCATACAAAAACATACACACAAGCCAAATTTATTAAGGCCCCATATACATGTTCCACTTAAGGCATGATTAAATAGTCAGTCATGCCTTAGGTAGTCACTTGGTCACATGTTCAATCAATTAATGGCACAATAAAAACAGGAATAAGCTAAAGTTATTTAACAAAATGTGTAATAACTTTGTATCTTCTTCCTATCATGTCATTAATTGAACATGTGGTTGTGGCCCCTATGGCAGGGAGCCGCATCAGCTGATCAGAGCTTCTAACTTGGGGATCCCATGGGCATGCCCAAGAGCTCCCAGCTGACAGGGTTCCCAGCTCCCAGCT